TTTTATATATATATATATATATATATATATATATATATATATATATATATATATTGAATACTTACACAAGTGTAAGTAGAGATGCTTTAAGATGAATATTTGCCTCCCAGCGACAGGTGAACCACCGCATGGCTCGGAACTCAATCCTTTGTTCAGTGGGTTCTGGAAAGCTGATGGTCCAGGTATATTGAAAAGCATAGTGCCTATGTTGAAAATAAACTAATTGCAAATTTTGTATTGTTGTGAATAATTATAAACATTGATTGCAGATACTTATTGACTTACCTTTTTACGTGTATCTACATTAATGTGAACTTCTAATTACTTTGTACTACATAGGCGTGCGCATGAAGGGGGGCGTGCCCCCAGCACATTTTTGGAGGGATTCCGTAACCTTATGTAATAAAACATTTTATTTATGAAAGTTCGGGGTTATTACTAATTATTCATAGGATTTAAAAAAATTATATTTCCGAAATTATTACACAACATATAGAGAGATAGATCTAAAACTCTCCAAGCTTACGTTATATAATTATCATGTGATTCACCACATAGAAACAATAAGCCACTTTCGAAAATGTGTATGGATAAGAAAGCATATTGCTTTTTGGAATATGAAATTTGTGATTGTTGCAACAACATAATGGAGATTCAGAAAATTCAATACTTCAACAAGATGGTGCTCTTCCGCACTGGCATATAGATGTGCGACGTTTTCTCAATGAGGAACCACATCAGCGGTTCGGGCGATGTGCAGTTGAGGACGGGGCACGTCTTTCCCGAGAAATTTGATGGTTTTTGCAAGCAGCTAAGCTTCGCGCCCGGACATACGTCAAATGAGACTCGCGCATGCTGTCTCGTGTTGGCTAAGATCAGCGAAGACAGACAAAACGGATACGTGATCTGATTGGAAAGATAGGCGCCAAATATAGCGTTTGCTGAGAGGGTGCAATCTAGCTTCGCGGACCTACCCCTGCAGCAATAACTCAGAAATTTTAATTAGAGAATAGGCATCATGAAAGGAATAGACGCTCAGTTCGTAGGGCAACAAAATGCAGAATTGGTACGTATTAAACAGTCTTCGGGTTTCACAGACCACCCAAATGCACTGCCGGGTATTGTCATAAACACTTTTCCTTAAATAAAACCTTTAAAAAATTAAAACAAGTAGATAAAACACACATAATATTTTATGTAATAAAAGTATGAATCTTGCAAATTCGACCAGAAAAATCCAAAATGTGCAATTTTCAGGCAGGATTACCTAAAACGTGCAATTTTGTGAAAAATAAACAATTACTCAAATAACGTTCGTGTCATGATTTAAATTTCTGCCAAGGTTCATCCAATATTCAAGTTAGCAGAGCAAAGATGACTTGTAAAACTTGTTACCTAAATATTTTTATAAAGAAATACTACCAGATTTGAGAAAACATTGAGTTTTTAATCCAATACGAAGAATAGGAATAGTGGAAAGAGGGATATAAAAATAAGCACAGTAACAAACGAAATATTGATTTTCTTTAAGACTGAAAACCTCTACAAGTTTAAGAAACTCGAGTGAATAAAACAAAAAATCTAAAGCACAAAAAGCAACTTAACAATTCTAAAAGTATCTTTCTGTAAAGTAGATGTACAATGTGTACTCTGGCAAAGGCAATACTTATTAGAAGAAGCTTCTAATGTGTCCGTGGACTGAATGCTAAGGTTTTGGTGAAAGTGCAACTTAGTAACGTTTTAGGTACTGGGGGGTTACTGTATCTACTTTATTTTATTTCATTTCATTTTAGGTGTTTTAGCAACAACATGTGTAAAGAAAGCGTGGCGTGGAAACGGGGGTGGTGGGTGGGGGGTATGAACTACTCTTTCCGCGCGGCGGAGCAGTTGGCAATCGGCGGGGATTCCCCTGCCGCGGCCAGGGGCGGCGTGAACTGCACCACGACCACGAGGTAGGCGGCGACGGTGCCGAACCAGCTGACGAAGAAGCGCAGGTCGAGCGGGAAGAGGCCGCCGGCGGTAAAGCGCGCCCGCTGCGCGCGCCGCTGCGCCAGCAGCAGCTGCGCCTCGCGCTCCGCCGCGGGGAATCCCCTGGCGGCCAGCAGCAGGGCGGCCGCCGCGGCGTCCGCGCGCTCCGCGCCCTCCGCCACCGCCGCCCCCGACGCCCACGCCACCGCCGCCGCCGCCCCCGCCCCCGCGGCCGCCCCCTGCGCCATGTACAGCGCCTGCGGCGGCGTCAGCGCCAGGCGCTGCCACAGCACCGCGTAGTACAGGAACGACACCGTCAGCGTCAGCACGTACGCCAGCAGCAGGAGCAGCAGCGTTTGGAAGATGTCGTTGACGAGCGTCGCCGTCTCCCATGCGCACGAGTGGTTGGCACGGATGTTCGCGATCGAACGCACCAAACCGCCTACTTGGTTGTCGTTCATGGCGTGTGCGTGTACGTATTTTGGATGCGGGATCATGAACATAAACGGAGGTTGAATTTCACTTTCACTAAGGGATGTGGCCAACGAACCGAAACATTCACTGTCGTTTTTCGAGAGTTTCCGAACTACGGACCAAGCCCTTTCATTGTTCTTTTCAAAGTAGTGTTTTACTTTCAACACTAGAGCGCAGAAGAAGTAGGTATACAGAATGGCAAAAACAAACGACGAAATTTCTAAAATATTGTACACAAGAGGTGCATGCCAAATAAGCCACCCACTGATAACTTCCGTTGTCGAAATCGCAAACGCCATAAATATTGCACATCCAACGTACGCTCGTCGCGTAATTCGAGGCCCTCTGTAGTTCAAACCAAACAGTGCTTCATCTAAGGAATGCAAGCGCCGTAGCAACTGGTTCCAGCGACGGAGGTGCGCTCTGTTGGCGGGCGTGGCTACTCTGTAGAGGAGCACCGCGAGAACGGCCGAGTACATCACCCCTGTGAGCAGGATGGGGATCGGGACTGACCCGGTCATCACCTCCGTTGGCAGATTCGGGTCGTAGTTGAACGCGGAGAGGAAGAGAGTCAGTTGGGCGGCGATCGCTGCGGCACACAGCAGCTTGCACCTGCAAGTAGAGCCGGGCATTAGGCATTCTATTGTCGGTCGTCCTCGTGCGCTTGTTTTCGCAGTCTCGGAAGGCGGAACTCGCTCCTGTTCTGCCCTTGAAATCATAGGGCCTCTGTCAAAACTCGATGGCATCGGCGGAGTTTACTCTTTGCGCAGTTTGCAAGTTTGTAGTTTCTGTGTGAGGCGCGTGTGAGAGGGAACATTAACTCTGTTACGAAAAAGATAGTAACAGATTATTCATCAATTCGTATCAACATCTAGGTCATTAGCGACCTCTATTGCATTTAACGGTATGGCAACTGTGAAGATGACATGATGTGGTGATTATAGGCGGTGAAAGGACGAACACAAATACAACCATGCCCAAGGCGGGACTCGAATCTGCGATCCTTCGGTCCGAGATTGGTACGGCACAACTGCCTTAATGATCTCGGCCATGCGGTCTGGCAAATAATCCTCGTTTTTGAAACGATTCAACCTTTAAAAAATTATACTACCCCCGGGCTCTCACAGTTTTAAAATTACTTTTTTTAATAATAAAGCTACTTTCTTCATCGGTCCCCGCTATATCAGTAGTTTATTACTATCTAACAATTTAACATTGCTCCCTTTCAGTTTCAGAGTGAAAATCACTCATTGATCTAAGAAAATTTACAATACGGATGTCGGCAGACTTGCCCATACGGGATTTTAAGTTGTGAAATTTACGTAAGATTCTTATCAAATTTGACTTACTTGAACAAAAACCTATTAATATTTCCAAAATATTATTATTTTACTTTACAATTACAAATTGTATCCATTTTCGCAGATCCACGCCACGATTGACGCTACGAATCAGACACAAGAAATAACTATGACAATAAAATATAATAATAACTTTTATTTAGTATTTACAACACATTTACGCAAGTTTAGTGTTCGTCCAATATCTATTACTTTACGCATGGCCATGCTATCTCTGATTCTCTGAAGACGAAGTTGTATGCAATTTAAATTTAAGAAGAATTAATATAATTATTAAATTTAAATTGCATACAACTTCGTCTTCATACATTAGCTATTTAATGTCTATACGCTTTCTTTGGTTGACCACTGCACACTTGTCTGGTGAAACAGCTGTCAGACTCCGTTCCGATTCCATAAGTTCTCCGCCATCTTGTTTGCTTCATTCGAGTTCGATGTTTTAATTTAAGTTCGACGTTTCGCGATTACCTCCCGTAAAAGTTAATTCCCTGTATGAGATCATTGTTCGCGTGCTTCTTTTCACCTTCAGCTACTCTTTATCACTAATTCGACAACTCAAAGATTAAATTATTTTCAAATCTAACTGCGCTACCGTGCCGCGTCCGTCTCTCAAGATAGCCGAGCACGTTCTCTACCTGCAAATCACAGGCCCTGCCTTTCAACTGTCTCTTCCTGACCGAAAGTTCATCAATATCGCCTCGAATTGATAGCTTCTGCAGTCTATGTTCATTTGTCGTGCACACAGCTTATTCCCATTGGCTGTCAGTCAGTGAGCATATTATATTGTTTTTCTTTAATAATCTTCTATTTTATAGTTATTATTGAATATTCCTAAGCACATAAATGACTCATGTGTCCCATTAAATTTATACACTTTATTCTTCAAGTAATAACGCAGGTCACGTGCTCGCAGGCTCCTTTTAGTTATATATCGTTGCTCGCGTCCATATCGATCGTCGTTTTTCCTTTTTACGTAATTATATTACCAAATGTATCATTCCCATTGTATTTCTAGTAACCTTTTGTGATGGTTACAAAGGTCATAATAAACCATCACAATATAGTTTTCCTTAAAGAGAATAACTTTTCAAGAGTCTGCGTGGTATATTAAACTTTCGATATATTCTCAAGATCTCATAAATTATTTTATCAAAATCATCAAAATTAGGTCTTCACGGAATATCAAAATTCAGTGCTAAAATTGGGGAGGGGGAGAAAAACCCTACACACTTATAGCTGCGTAGCGCCTGCAGAGGGGGCAGCTGCAAGGTACCAAACACAGGCGTTTTGCAAGTTGCCTACTCGCTAGGCGTCGGCGACTACAGGTGAGGTTTTGCAAGAATTGAGAAAACAAGCAGATTTACTTATTTTTTGAAGTCATTTTCTTTACCATCATACTTAATTTGAAGGGATGATACTGTAAGAACGGACAGTTGGATATTATTTTCTTAACTTCTGTTTTACATTCACATTTGTTATTCTGAGGTGTGATCAATAAACTTGTCTACCTATTAGCTTAGCCTGACCCCTTCGTCAGGTATTTTCATATTTAAAAATATTTGTTTGCGCTACGTAAGTTCACAAGAACAACAAGAATAACATTAATAATAATAATAATAATAATAATAATAATAATAATAATAATAATAATATAATAATAATAATAATAATATAATAATAATAATAATAATAATAATAATAATAATAATAATAATACAAACAACTTAAATAGTTATGCAGTTGCCTGGCTTGTCCATATTAAGGCATAAAAAGTTAAATACAATAGTATCAATAATTTTTCATATTTTAATACTCAAATATAAAATTATCTTTCATTATCATTAATCTAATAAACCAATTCGTAACCATTTTTGCTATCACAGAAAAGCTGTGTTGAAATGTACAGTATTTCACCCATGTAGGTGCTTTGAAACCATAGAAACCCATGTTCTTACTGAATTTTTTCAATATATCGAATAGAAAGCCACGGCACTGCCAAATTATCAAGTCGAGATGCCTAGAATAAGTCATTGATCACCTCTTAAAAGTGCCTTAAGAATCCCCAAATGAATTTTTGTTGCTTAAAAACCCCGTCTAAAAAATCTTTTTTTTTCATAGAATCTGTTAATGATCTGAAACTTTTTGAATTGATCCGAAAAAATGGTTAGTTCTCTGCAGGAGACGAGACGCATCGAATCATTTGCGCCGATTGGTGGCTCACAAGGGAACGCAGTGATGGATGAGTGACGTATCGATGCAAGTTACCCGATTGCTATGCCTAAGTTAACATTATATTAAATGCTTGTATATATTGATTGATTAGTGTTTCCCAGCGCGTCAACTGCCAAGGTCATTATTCCCGTAAGTGTAATGCACGCGTTTATCTCGAGAGGTGGTGATTCTCTTCGCAAGGTGGATGGAGATAACCGGTACAATTAAGCTGGAAAAACATTCCCCAACCAGGTATCGTCCAGCAGAGGGACGCCGCTCATGTCACGGTAAGCTTTAAGCTTTCGACTGGTCTCGCGGCATGTGTGATAGCCTAGTGCAAGAGTGTATACGTAAGCGGCGAGGTAAGTACAAGAAAAAACAAGGAAATATCCCGATCCGTGGCCTCCCACACATATTAGCCGGTATAATTTTAGCCGGTATAATTTCGATATCAAGTGGGTTGTCAGTTGGAAGGAACGTTACATATGCGTCTTCAAAATCGTATCCATGTAAACAGTTGACTCCGAAAACCGATCTCTCGTGTGAATCTTCGAGACAAGCGAGCGTTCGCCCAGGCTAGTCGCAAAACGAGTCGCAGGTCCGCAGTTACGCAGTGGTTATCAGAAACTCACCTTGAGTCACCCTGCGTCACGTCACGCACCTGCGTCTCATTTCACGACTCGCCTCAGGCGCGTGCTCACCTGGGTGTGGTGACCAGGCGCATCGGCGGCGCCTCCAGCTGGAAGGGTGTGAGCCCGAAGTAGCGCGTCGCGCCCACCAGCAGCGCCAGGCCCTGCAGGCTGCGTGGCAGGCGCGGGCATGGGCATGGGCGCGGGCGGCGGATGGGGCCCTGTCCACGTCCACCGTTCATTTCTTGCCCTTCACGAGCACCCTCGGGAAGGATGCGGTCCACTGAGAACTGGAAGAAATGAGAAAGGACCATCAAGCAGTGTTTATTTACTGTATGGTCTCCGTTTCTACTGTGAAATTAATTTGCTCGTTCTCTTCAGATGCGTACAAATCGATTCAAAATGACCGAACCTGTGAGGCGAGTTGTCCATTACGCATGGTCATGACATTTTCTAAAATATCCATTCAATCTATCCGTCGAATATATCAAACCAATCTATCCATCCAATCTGCCCACCCAATCTATCCATTCAATCTATCCATCCAATCTATCCATCGAATATATCCATCCAATTTACCCATTCAATCTCTCCATTCAATATATCCATCTATCTATTCCTCCATCCATCCATCTCTAAAAATATGAAAATCTCCGTCAGAAGCTTAAGACTCACTGCCTTACGACAAATTGTGTTGTACCTGAGGCAGCTGCCAGCCAGGCGAGGCAGATAACCCTTCCCTTGGGAGAAGAGAGGCAGCGGTGGAGAACGGAAGGCGGCGGCGGA